AGTGCTGACCGACCATCTCTCTCTCTCCCTCTCTCTTTCTCTGCATGAGATAAACGCTGCTTCTGCGCTCTGTTTTTTCGGGGCCACACATGGTCACAAAAACTGTGATCACCAGCCACTACCATGCCAACTTTGATTTGGTTTGTCATTTGCCTTTTCTTTTAATGAAGCCATATCAACACTTGGTCTGTGTGTGTGTGTGTGAGAGTGTGTGTGTGTGAGAGAGAGAGAGAGAGAGAGAGAGAGAGAGAGAGAGAGAGAGAGAGAGAGAGAGAGAGAGAGAGAGAGTCGCACACTCTCTTTCCCTCTGCATTCCCTTTCCTTCTCCCCGCTCTTCTTCCCTTCCCCCACTTCCGCTGCCGCAGCGTCGCTGCAGCGGGTTCACTTGTATGTATAATATTGCAAAAGCCATACAAGGAACCGATCCAGAAAGGGAGGATTGGAAGTCACGATCCGTAATACTAAGGACATACTCACATGGGGACCTAAAATCGCAAATATCTGGGACGTTTGGTACCATGTATTTGCTCCTTTGGGTGCCGGTGTGGTCACGCACACGCTCTCTGTCCACAAGGGACACAGTCGTGGCCCTGACATTTGCACCTCCCAGAAAGTGCCCGTAGTCACACTGCTTTCCCCAAAAAATATATAAAGTTTTTTATTGTTTTTTTTTTCCAATGCTGAACTAAGGGCATACTGACACTAGGACTTCCTTTAAGGTATTTGTGGACGGAATTGCGGCCCGATACATCAAGGTATGGGCGTGAATGCGGTCAGATACATTTGAGATACTGCTAGTGCGAGTTATCCCTAACACTCAGGGCTGTTTTCCTCATGCACAAATTTCTTGAAACACCTCACAGAGAACGAAAAAAACTGAAAAGGTAATTTGAGACCCCTTCTGGAGGTAGTCTCAAAAAGGGTCCTCCTGCGGCCTCGCAGGCTGCTGACAAAAGGGTCACCAAATGGTACATTTGGGTAGAGGGCCTCTCCAGTGTGCCCCCAAAACTGGCTCAGGTCCCGGTCCCCATGTGAGTATGCCCTAAGTCCAGACAAACACTATTCTGCAAAACTACACTACCGACGGAGGGTAGAGGCTGATAGGGTTGAGCTGCTGACAGTCGCTACAGGCAGGTGGTTTTTGGTCTGAATATTCCTATGATCAAACCTTAGAGAACCTAACTTTTTGTGTAGATTGCATAGCTATCGGCTTCAGCCGAAACCGGGTAATGGCCCCGGTATCTCAAAGTTTTTTTCCAAGCACGTGTTGCTCCCCACAAATAGATTGGAGCATGTCCAATTCAAAAAAAAAAAAAAAAAAAAAAAAAAAGACTGAGGGTAGACCCTGTACACCCGATTCCCACAACGAGCGTCAATCTCAAAGAGAGCTCGGCAACGGCTCACATCGTGAACAGAAAGCAAGACCATAGCAAATGATACACAGCCAACCCCCACCCACCTCACAAAAGAGAAATATGAAAATCAGATCTCCGGGCTAAAAGAAAGATGAAAAGTGGTTCTCCAGGCCAGTTGCCTGCTGCGACGGAGACAGTCAGCAAACCCAGAAAATGGTGCCAACACGCCCCAAATGACTTCTGAGCTTTTGCAGAAAGTTCCTTCCATTGGAGTAGTAGGATTTGAAAAAAAAAAGAAAAAAGAAAAAAAAAGGAAGGAATTATTCACAGCCCTATGGAAAGATGTGCAATGGGACGCTGGGGCCGGTTCCCAGCAGGTGCAGCTCCCCACCAATAGATGGAGCAGCCCGACAGATAAGACCTCAAGTCTGGCGGTTCTCTCACCACCACTGGGATAGAGGGCTTACACAGGGGCTTTTCAAAACAAAAAAAAACAAAAAAAAAAAAAGATTTGAGCTTGGGTTTGCATTTGAACAGTAGAGGGGTTTACCAACTGGGCTGGCTACCTTCTCCCCTCAATACAATGTACCGTCATTATAGCTGTGTTTAAAGTGAGAGATACCCCAAATTCAGCTATAATGACCGTACATTGTATTTGGGGGAAGACTATAGGCCCGTGTGGCGAGGCCCTTAGTGCGAGGGCCCGGTTGCATAAGTCGCCATTCACCACATTTTGAATGCACCAGGACCGAAGAAAGTGCCACGTTCAGATACATTCAAAATCTTTGGCGGACAGGGAGTGGGAATGGTGCAACTATGCCCTGAGTACACACACCTTGAGGGCGTACTCACACAGGGACCTATAATCCCAAATCCCCCCCCAAAAAGGGGAGCGGGCCGATCACACTTCTTTTTTTTTTGATCACACAGATTTGCCAAAGTACCAAATGTACTATTGCTGTGCCCATTTGTCAGAGGCCTGGGACCTTGTCCCACTTCGTACGTTGAGTTAGGTCCACGTTCGCCGTGTGACTGTAGGCGACGAAGGAGATGCACGCCCTCGCAATCATCCAGCCATCCTCTCTTTTTTAAATTGCGAATAGATATTATCGCATTTCTTATTCCAACAAAATAGTTCCAAAATGACGTTTTCTGGAATGCTACTCCCCCTACCCTTGCCACTTTCCGTTGGGCTAGGTGTCTCCTTTTTTGGAGATAGCCAGTTCAGCGACCGTTGGGCTCCTTTCTGGAGGTTTTTTTTTTTTTTTTTTAATTTTAATGTTATTTTACTATGTTTTGAGAAATCTGTGAATTCCCTTGTACTTCGCTATTTTCGTGCGACTTTTGAAGGACCAAAAATGCGTGAACTATGGGCAATTTGGTGCGACCTTTGAAGGACCACATATGCTTTAACTACGGGAATAGGGCAACTCTTCATAGGATCTACTCTTCGGACGTCACGTATGCCACTCCAATTGTGGGGGGGAAAAAAACAAAACGAATGAACTGTATCTTAGGCAGATTTTTTAATGCATTTCTGAATTTGAAATGAATTAAAAAAAAACAGTTTCAGCTGTCACACCGTTGAGCTAGGTCCACTAAGCCGTGCATGTGGGACAAGGTCCCTGGGGCGAAGTCCCACTAGCAGCGTTGAGCTACCTCAACGCCTGAATCTGGACGCTTTTGCGGAGATGTGCAGAAATGGTGTTGAGTTTCCTGAACTGCATGTGTCGTCCAGATTCAGGCGTTGAGGTAGCTCAACGCTGCTAGTGGGACTTGGCATTTTCTTTGAAAATTGGCAAAAATTCGTTCACAAAAGTTCTTGCACAGTTTGTGGATGGCCGGTGTGACCAGCCAAGTACCAAATCCCCATTTCTCCAGACGGCCGCGACCTTGTCCCATCTGAAAAGATACAGCAGTGCGACGTGAACCATGCCCAAAACCTCAAATCGGCCCTTCCCAAATCCGCATATTTTACGGATTTGGGGGCGCCATGTGAGTATGCCCTTCCTCTCGATCGGGAAACTCTCGAAACCCGATCGAGAACTGTCAGAAGCCACGCTACAACGCCACTCTCGAAACGGCGAGAGTCTCCTGCCTGCAAGTGTCCTTGGGAGTTGCCCGCCGACAGGCTTGTTTTTCGAGAGTGGACCTCCTGTCCCCGCCGCCAGACTGTCCCGTAGCGCAGTGGTGCAGCTCTTCAGTCGAGTAGGATGACGCCCAGGGTTTCGAGAGTTCATCTAGGGGATAGCTGCACTCTCGATATGCACAAAAGACAAAAATAATGGCCGTGCATCTTTCCATATTCTAGCGGAAGATTCACTCTCGTTTTGCACAGTAGTGCAGCCAGGCCCCTAGTGTCACAGGTTCTAGAGTAAGTGCAGCGAAGGCGTGTATTTGGAGAGTTTCGCCTCTCTGACAATGCTAGTGGAACTCTGGAAATATTTCGAGAGTCTAGAGTAGTGCAGCCAGGCCCTTTATTTCAACAGTTCATGGGTGTACCCACTGAGCTAGGGTAATCCCCATTTCTTTTTCTTTTTTTTTTTTTTTTTTTTTTGAATCCCCATTTCTCCAGAAGGCCGCGACCTTGTCCCATCCGAAAAGGTACAGCAGTGTGACGTGAACCATGCCCAAAACCTCAAGGGCGTCGTTGCAGTACTCACCATCCGCCAACATTTTGAATGCATGTGGACATCAATAAGTCCAGATGCATTCGAAATGCTGGCGGATGGCGATTAGTGCAACTAGGCCCCAAATCGGCCCTTCCCAAATCCGCATATTTTGAGTATTTGGGGTCGCAATGTGAGTAGGCCCTGATACGAGCAATAATGGCAAGCTCACACTCAAAACATTTTCGACCGAATCCAGCTCAAAACGGCAGTCAGATACAGACAGTAATGGCCCATCATGGGGTGATGAGTGTTTGCCCTAATGCGTCCACTTTTCTGAGGTGTACCTTTTTTTTTTTTTTGCGCCCGCCCCTCGTGCCTTCGGCGGCACGGCATGGGCCTCGCCACACCACTCCCCGAATGTGCAGAATGGATCATGTACACTCCCTGAAAACATGGACCGATACACTACCCATAGGTTCTGGTGTGGCGTTGCGTCATGGGTGTCGCTCCACTACACTCCACATTCACAAAAGACAAAAAGAAAAATATGATGATGTATTTGTCAACGTTCTAGCAGCAGATTCATTTTCATTTTGCACATTTGGAGAGTAGTGCCGTGAGGCCGCATCGCATGTCTGGCCTGCCCGTGCGCACAGAAACTTAACTTTTTTTTTTTTGTTTTTTGATAGGGCCGCGCTCCAGTACTCTCTACATGTGCAAAAGACAAAAATCATCGCCGTGTATCTGTCCGTGTTCTACCGACAGATTCACTCTCGTTTTGCACATTTCTCTAACCCTGCCAGGTCAGAGAAAGAGACAGAGAAGGAGGCGACCAGCAGAGGAGCCAGAACATCTTTATTTTTTTTATTTTTTTATTGGTAGAACATCTTTCAGGACAGCAGCACTACCAGCAGCCAGGGGCGTGGTCTAGCTGGGTGTTTGTCTTCTCCCTCTCTTCTGTGTGTGTGTGTGTGTGTGTGTGTGTGTTTATGCAGGCCGAACACGTTTAGGCAGAAGACACGCGTATAGAGGTCTGTATTGTTGAAGGAGAGAGAGAGAGAGAGAGAGAGAGAGAGAGAGAGGCAGAACTCATTTTGTTGTTCAAGGAGAGAGAGAGAGAGAGAGGTTTGTTATTAGGTTTCATTGATTCTTTTTCTTCTTTGGAGCAATACCGCAGGCTTTGGTAGATGTTCTCTCCTCTCTCTCTCTCTCTCCGTTCTCTCTGCCCTGGTCAGCCGGGGGGCTGATTCCTCGATCAATCTACTAATTGCTTGATTGATTAGTTGGTTGATTGATTGATGTGAGGAGTCGCTCCCCAGACCTTTTGCTGCTGCTGCTGCTGCAGTCGGAATCCGTATCCCGATCGACCAGGTAGCAGACAAGACTTTCTCCCAAACCTTCCACCCCGCTCCCCCTCCCTTCCCCCGCCGCCCCCTCCCCCTCCCTTCCGCCGCCTGCCCCTCCCTTCCCCCGCTCCCCCCCCCCGGGTCGCCACCATGGCTGTGGAGAAGATAGTCGTTGCCAATCCCGTCGTCGAGATGGACGGCGATGAGATGACACGGATCATCTGGAAGATGATCAAGGACAAACTAATTACTCCCTTCCTTGATTTGCCCATCAAGTACTTCGATTTAGGCCTTCCTCATCGCGACGAGACTGATGACAAGGTCACGATAGAGAGCGCAGAGGCGACGTTGAAGTACCACGTGGCCATCAAGTGCGCAACGATCACCCCCGACGAGGCACGTGTCACGGAGTTCGGCCTCAAGAAGATGTGGAAGAGTCCCAACGGGACCATCAGGAACATCCTGAACGGGACCGTCTTCCGCGAGCCCATCCTGTGTTCCAACATCCCACGTCTGGTGCCAGGATGGGAGAAGCCCATCTGCATAGGCCGCCACGCGTTCGGCGATCAGTACCGCGCGACGGACATCGTGGTATCCCGACCGGGGAAGCTGAAGATGGTCTTTATCCCGACCGGTCCCGACGGGCAAGAAGTGGGCGAGGTCGAGGAGCACGAGGTCTTCGAGTTCACCTCCAAGGAGGGCGGAGGCGTGGGGATGAGCATGTACAACACGGACTCGTCGATTCGGGCCTTCGCGGAGGCGTCGATGGCTCTTGCCTACGAGAAGAGGTGGCCTCTGTACATGACGACCAAGAACACGATCCTCAAGAAGTATGACGGACGGTTCAAGGACATCTTCGCCGAGGTGTACGAGAAAGACGGTTGGCGCCAAAAATTCGAAAGCGCGGGAATTTGGTATGAGCACAGGCTGATCGATGACATGGTGGCGCAGGCGCTGAAGAGCAAAGGCGGGTACGTGTGGGCCTGCAAGAACTATGATGGGGATGTGCAGTCTGACATGCTGGCGCAGGGGTTTGGCTCCTTAGGTCTTATGACAAGCGTGCTGGTGTGTCCCGACGGGAAGACCATCGAGTCGGAGGCGGCGCACGGCACCGTGACGAGACACTACAGAGTGCACCAGAAGGGAGGAGAGACGAGTACCAACTCCATTGCATCGATCTTTGCATGGTCCAGAGGGCTGGCACATCGCGGCAAGCTTGATGGTAATCAGAGACTGATTGATTTCTGTAAGAAATTGGAGGCTGCGTGTGTGGAGACGGTCGAGGCCGGGAAGATGACGAAAGACCTTGCCCTGATCATTCATGGAAGCTCTCTCTCGCGCGACCAGTACCTGAACACCGAGGAATTCATCGACGCAGTGGCGGCGGCTCTAGTGGCCAAGCTGTGAGAACTCCTGCTCATAATTTTCATCTCCATCTTCTTATCGTCATCATCGTCATCATCTTCTTATCATCATCATCATCATCATCGTCGTCATCATTCTCATAATCGGAATCATCATCATCATCATCGATCTTGTAGCTAAGCTGTGAGGACTTCTGCTCATCATCATCATCATCGTCATCATCATCTTCTTATCATCGTCATCATCATATCATCATCATCAGTATCATAATCATTATCATCATCATAAATGGAATCATCATCATCATCATCGATCTTGTAATCATTGTCGGTATAATCTTCGTGTATATCATCTCGTTATCTTCAATCCTATCATCATTATCATCGTCATTATCCCTCTTTTTCCCAAGCTGTGAGGACACATCGTCGCCGTCCTTGTTCATCTTCTTCACATTTTACATGAGCATCGTCATAATCATTTTTGCTTGTAATGGTTTTGGTTATAATTTCGGACTTATATTGTCGTCGTATGCATTTGTCTCATAAGCAATGATCATCTCTGTCATTTGCTGCCGTCGTCGGCATCATCATCATCATCATCATCATTATCATCATCATCATCATCATCGTTGTTATAATTAGTATTTACGACGACGAGTGCTTTGTCGAACGTAGTGATTGTTGTTTAATTGGACTCTTCTTGATTGCTTGATGATGATGATTGCTGATAGTGATAGGTCGTGCGTGTGCGTGTGCTCCTTTCTCCGCCTCCCTCCCCCCCCCTCCTCCTCTCTCTCCCCTGTTCGTTTTTCCTGATCTTGAAGTACAGGCGTTTGACAATTTTTGTAGTCGAGTAGCAGTCTGTTAGTCTGTCTGCATGTCGCTCAAGAAAGTGTACGAGACAATTTCGGGGTTCTTTTTCTTCTCTTTTCAGCGAAGAGTCGATGAAAGTTCTATGAAAGTTCGGCTATGAGCGTTGTTGATGTTGGCAAAATTTCGACGAAAGAGCGTTTGGTCGTCGAAGGTTCGACGGAGTTTCGTGGCGGCGTTGTGTCGCGGTCGATGATACTCACGTCGTGTCGCACGTCCGGTTTAATCCCCTTGAGAATGTTCGTTGAGACTTCCTCTTGCGACCATTTCCTCTCTGTTTTTTTCCCCTTGTCGTGTAGTGATGATGTAATGTGTTCTTTTGTGTTTTGTGTTGTGTCGTGTTGTGTTGTGTTGTGTTGTGTCCTGCACTTTCTCTTGTCCCCTCTCGTCTGTGTCCTAAAAGCTTTTTTTGGGATGGAATGAGAGGGCCTCGCTGCACTACTCTCGACATGCACAAAAGACAAAAAACATGGCGCTGTATCTTTCCATATTCTAGCGGAAGATTCACTCTCGTTTTGCACATTTCGCGAGCAGTGCAGCGAGGCCCTGGAAGTCCGATGACGATGGGAAAATATAGAGAGTGCTTCAGTAAAGCGATTTCCTGCTCTTCTCATTGACCTTTTTTTTTTTTTTGGGATCGGACGTCGGTATGTACGTACAGCAATTCGGTCAGTCGCTCTGTATGTACCCTCTCTTTTCTCTACTCGCGCGTATTTTCTGAAATAAGTTCTGCCCCTTCATACTTGATTCGTGTTATTCCTGGTCGTATTTCGAAGCGTTGGTTGATTTTAACAGCTCGTCTATCAGCGCTTGATGACCTCCGCCATTGATTCGTGTTATTCCTGTGAGTGTGTAGCAGGGATTTCCTCCTCTGTGTGTAGCATGACTTCCTTTTCTCCGTGTAGCAGGGATGCCCTCTGTGTGTGTATTAAAATCGACTAAGTAAGATATGATTCCCTTCTCTGTCTGTAGCAGGGATGCTCTGTGTGTGTAATAAAATCGACGAAGTATTGTGTCTGGGAAAGTGACTTAAGCATGCGTAGGCCTGCGCTGTGTAGCAGGGATCTTCTGTGTGTGTGTGTGTGTGTGTGTGAGAGAGAGAGAGAGAGAGAGAGAGAGAGAGAGAGAGAGAGAGAGAGAGAGAGAGAGAGCATTTCCTATCGTAGCCATGTGGGAAGGTGTATTGGGTCGTGATTGCCGTCAGTATTCATGGTAATGACGAGGATAACGACGAGACAAGGGAAGGTGTACTGGGTAGTGATTGCCGTCATTGTTCATGTCATGTTTAAAATAATGTGGGCAATGCCGGAAACGGTGGATGTGGGAATAAATCGACGAAGTATTATCTGTCGTTGTGTATCCTTTGCAAAATCGACCAAGTGTTTTGTCATCGTCCATTTGTGTTACGTCGACTTTCTGTCATTGTTGTTTACGTGGTGTAAAGTCGACTACTTGTACATTTGTGTGAATGTGAAATCGACAATTTTTTTATTATTCTGTCCTTGTTCACGTCGTGCGTGAAAGCGACTCATTGTATTGTACGTGTGTGAAATCGACAAATTATTCTGTCATTGTTCACCTCGTGTGTGAAAACGACTCTCCTTGTATTGTACATGTGTTGTCTCCGGCCTCGTCCCATTGATTTTCTTGCAATATAATTACAAGCTTTCGGGGGAAAAAAAAAAAAAAAAGTCGAAATTGCGGCCAAGGGCAACGACCTTTTAGATATCATCGTGGAATTGACAGGGCCCACGTGATTAAGAATTATTTTGCTCGGGTCGTCTGATTAAATCTGGATTCGAAAAAAGACTGCCCTGTCCAGATTGCACAGGTAATTGAATTGGTTGGGCTCAAGGAATTAGCCTTTTTTTTCAAACAAAAAGAAAGTAAAATTCAAACAAAAATTAAAAAATAAAAATAAAAATAAAAAATGGGTCTCTTTTATCAAGTTTCATTCGAGCATTTCGTGGGTGTACGGACTCAAGGCATACTCACACTAGGACCTTTTGCTCTGATCTGTGGACGCGATTGCAGTCTGATTCATCCGGGTCTGGCCGTAAATGCAGTCCGATGCATTTAGAAAAGTCCTCGTGGGAGT